GGTAAGTGCCCAAAAGGTTTGTCATGTCTTCAAATAGCACTTATCTATTCTTATCTTGAAGGTTCAAAGGTATAATTTCACTTTGTTAGGGAAGCTATAATAGAAATATGGTTTGCTTATAATCCTCAAATGGGTGACAACAACCCTCCTCTTGGGTTCTTAACTTATTCCTAACTTGACTGGGAGGTCAATCCCTAGAGTGATGTTGTACCGTCCTGTATCTAAACTAGTCCTTAGTAGGGAGATAACTTAGTCTTGGCAACCTTCTTTAAACATGGAGCTTGTTATCAAACCAACATAATGGTTTAGATCGTCCAAAATACATACATGTTTCTCATGTTATCAAAATCCAAACATTCATTTTTCTAAATCATCACAATGCCTTACCTCAATATTATATAGGTTGTTTACTCAATCTTTTATCTCCTAATTTATCATGTTTTATTCCAAGTCTCACTATAAAAGAATATGCACTTATCTTTCTTAATAACTTCTTTGGTGAGGTCAACTGCTTAAACCTAAGGGTTTGAATAAAACTCCTCCTCACTTTCCCACAGAACATTTTCCTAGATTGGTTATTCCTTATATCTTTACGATATCTTTCCTAAGCATTTCACTACATGTATGTGTCTTTTGAGATTTTGTTTGGTTTCATCTTTTGCACCATCATATATAGCGCTAGCCTTACTATTTCCTTCATTTGAAACACTTTAAGGTCAAGAAAGAGTTCTTATGATATTCTACTACATTCATTCTAAGTCTAATTATGCTACTCTAGGTTCCATGTCACACTAAGCCTCCTACTCAAGGGATGTGTCCTAGAACCGTGCTATGATACCACCTGTCGCGGTCACCCCTCTCCTATAGGGCGTGTCATAAGACACAAAACTTTACACTTACTTAAATAAAAATTCTAACTTTAATTAATTTACAGAGAGCATAGATGCATTACATCCATTGAAACATGTACATCAGATACATATATATGAGGCTCTAAAAGTTTTCTTTTCCTATAATACAAAAGTACAAATGGGTAACCTGATCTCAGAGTCTAACTTCTAAACTTCTCCTCTGTATCACTTACTATTTTGCCGCGGAATCCTCACAATCTGAAAATGATGGAAGAGTGAGATACACTATCCTAGTAAGTAAATATAATGACACATAACTAAATACGTGCAATATATAGTATCATCACACACATTATTGAAACACATTTGCCACTTTTTCAAAACCATATCAAAAATCATCTTGTACCAAATCACACAACAAACACAGGATATCACACACTTGTACCAGATCACACAACAAACATAGGATATCGTACACCCGTACCAAATAATACAACAAACACAGGGTGCACAAATCTCTCGCACAATTGTACCAGATCACATGACAAGTACAATGCAGCTCTACTAAATCACACACTAAGTACAATGTACCATACATCTGCATCAGAACACACAACAAGTGCAGTATACCCAGATCTCATATGTTTCAAATCACATAGCATGCACCAATCACTACATTGTATAATGCTTTTACATTTCAGAAAAACCATCAATGTTTTTCGTAAAACATGTGTCTAAATATATTAGTACTTCATGCTACAACATCCAATTATCTTGGGTCCTATACAAACCTTGACTCTGGTAGAGTCCCTCTTACACAAGCTCTTAGCGTTTTGATCAACCTAGTAGAGTTTCCCCCTATAAAACCTTTAAATTTCTTTGTTTGTGCGGGTAGAGACTCCCCTTATGAAAACCTCAATTTTTTATTTATAAATAAGCAGAGTCTCTCCTTAATTTATCTCAATTTTCCACCAAAATTTTGGCAAAGTTTCCCCTTAGTAACATTGATAATTTCTAACTCGAAGCTACCTTTCTAATATAGAAATCACATATCTAGAAAAAGGGTTTAAACAACCTTACCGTATAGCATAGACAACCTCAATTTTGGTAGAGTTCCAACTTAGTTTTTGATTTTTTACCCCCATAATTTCAGTAGAGTTCTGAATGTTTTGGAGAAATATCTAATAAAAAATGTCTCTCATATTACTAAAAAGCTCCCCTCATAATTTCATGGAAAATCGAAATAAAATGGGAGAGATATGCTTACCAGAAGCCCAGGGGTTAACCTTGGGAGCTTCTTCTTCTCTTTTTATCATATCTTCTTTCTCTTTCATCTCTTCCTCACTATGCTTCTCCCCATTTCCCATCATCCACTATTTATAGGAGAGGGGAGTCAAGGTTTTGGTTTCTTATCTGATGTGGGGCTTTTTGGTTTGCCACTTTACTTCCTAACTAATGACCAACATTTGTAACTTTAACTTCCTAACCGATGTGGGACTTTTGTCACTATGTTTTCCCAACCAATGTGGGATTTTTCTAATTTTAAATTTCTTAGCCAGTTTGTGACCTTTAAAACTTTGAAATTCTTAACTGATGTTGTAACACCCTTAAAACCTACTGGATGACTGTATTTAAAAACTTCTATTTTAAATTTGCTATGCAAGAATGTTGGTGTTTAATTTTGTTTTCAAATTATTTTCATTTAAATTTTAAATTTTTACCAAGAATAAAACAAAACAAAAAACAAAAAAAAAAGAATGATGAATGAGGAAAAGACCCACGGGCAATCTTTGCAGGAAACTGCCCACGGATGTATGCCTGAAAATGTGAGGATCATGTGCGTGAGGCTGCAATGTCGTGGGCTTGTAGCACTGCACGTGGAGGAACAATGTTGCATGTCCTATCACAAAACAAAGCTAGTCTACCTACAGCCCAGCCTACCACAGTTGCCACATGGCGTGCATGCATACATGATGGAATGGCCAGTCGACAACTAAGGCTATTGCATGTGATCCAACAGATCCCATGCATCCCTCTTTGGCCTTTTACGCTGATTTCGTTATTTCATTTTATTTTAATTTTTATTTAACTTTATCTGTTATAATTATTATTTTTTTATTATAGTTTTAATTTATTTTATACATTATTGTTATTTTTTATCAAAAATAATTTTCAAGAGAAAATGAAAAAATGGGGAAAAATCGCAGGAAAACACCTGTGGGAGAGGTTCGCCTGCATGGGCACCAAGTGTTGTGCGTGTGCGACCCGGTGTAGGTGCAAACATCACATCTACACAAGGCAGGAGGCCAGTTCGGTGTGCGTGTCTTGTCACGTATAGGCAGGCCAGTTTGCATGTGTTATATTGCGTCCAGACAGGGCTAGGCATTGCGCATTGTGTGCGCGCCATCCGCGTAGTAGGCCTGCGGGCAACAAGGTAGGTCGGCAACTACAAGCTAGGTCTACAGTGCACGGCCAACCTTGTGGGGCACACTGTTGCCTCGGGTAGTGTGCGCCCCCTTGAGCAATGTGCACTGCCTAGGGTGGTGTGCCGCTACCAATGGAGGAAGTTTTCCTCAATTTTCTATGACATTGTCGCATCGCATTAAATTGATCATCTTCCACTCAACTCTCTCTCTCTTCACTGGATTTAGCCATTTGGTGCAAATTTGAATGTCCCTATTTTCTATAAATAGGGGACCCTTTCTTCTATTTCCTCATCACTTCCATTCTATTCTTCCATCTTCTAAGAGTTTAGAGAGAGAGTGAGTGATATAAAGAGAGAAGGAGAAAAGAAGAAGAACTACGTAGGAAAACTTCAAAGTTTTGGTAAGGAATTCAATATTTCTTTTAACATCTTATGGAGTATTTCTAAAAAATTAAATTGATGAATATGTGTTTTAATGTTTTGCATGTTCCATGTTTAGTAGTTCTAACAAAGTGAATTGTTCTTTATTTCAAGCATGCAATGTGATTTTATTGGTACTTGATGATTTGCATGTAAATTAAATAATATGAATATGGTGATATTTGCTTTAAAAATATTTTAAAAAAAGGAAAAAAAGGAAGAAAGAGAAGGGGAATGAACCGAAATGGTTCGAAAAATATATGTATATGCATTGACATGCATAATGCATCAAGTGTCTCATTAGACTTTTTATCTCTGAGAGGTGTACGTTTTTTCCTCCCCATCTAGTCTAGAAGATGTGAGAGGACCAGTCCTATTGATGATGGTGTACTCTCTGACGATTGTGGTGACACAAATATCTGTTAGGGATCACCTTTAGCTAAGTACCGTCGTAGCTATAAAATATCTAATAGGGCCACTGTGGTTGGTACGACAGTAGTCATAGCTCGTACCATAGTTTGGCAAACCAGAAATGTGCCTGACAAAATTGCCATTATTTGTATCTAATCTGGTCATTCCAAATAAGTAGTCAGAAATCCGTATCTGCCCTCAGAGATGAAAGTCAGAAATCTGTATCTAACTGCGATCGTATTTTAAAGGGAACGACATAAGCTCTAGAACTACAAATCTTATGGGCAAGAAAAGATAATTGGTTCAATTAGAAGGAACACTTATTGAACTTGACATAGAGATGGTGCTCATGAAGGGTGATCATTACACGGGTCAGGTGATTGGCATGCTTCTCCGGGCTCTCTGATTACACTAGGATGTCATCGATGAAGATGACAATGTAACTGATCTAGTGTATGATGAAAAACTCTGTTCATTAACTTCATAAAGGTTACAGGGGCATTGGTCAATTCAAAGGGCATAACTCTAAACTCAAATTGTCTATATCTATAGTGAAAGGTCGTCTTAAGAATGTCTTTTTCCTTCACTCGTAACTGATGGTAGCCAGATTAGAGATCAATCTTTGAAAATATATAAGTACCCTGTAACTGGTCGAATAAATCATTTATGGGGGATAGATGGTACTTACTCTTTATGGTCACCTGATTGAGTGTGCGGTAATCAATACACATGCAGATGGATATGTCCTTCTTCTTGGCGAATAAGCTAGGTGCACCCTAAGTGGAAAGATTGGGGCAGATGAACCTCAATCCCTATAGTTTGAAAAGCTGCTGTTACAATTCTCCAAGTTCTGCACAGCTCATGCGATAAGGGGGTCAAAGTTGGTTGGGTACCTGAAATCAGGTTAATGGAAAACTCTATCTCCCTTTTAGGAGGTAGACCTGGTAGCTCCTTTGAAAAGACATCTAGGAAATTGCATATAACAGGGATTGAAGAAATTGCCAGGGCACAATCGATGTTCCTGTCCAACATAAGGTGAGTAAAGCAATGAAAATTTTCAAAAGAAAAACACTATTTATTTATTTTAGATAACTTTTACAAAACAAAACAAAACAAGTTTACTGCCTAAGTGAACGTAGTTTTACAATTTTTTATCTCACAATCAATAATTGCCCTATATTTTTCTAACCAGTCCATACTTAAAATTATACAAAACCTTGAGAAGTCTAATAAAATTAGATCTACAGTGAGCTTTGCCTTTTTGGGCTGATTCGCTCCTAGCTCGTTGCCAACTCTCGTTGACACGCCAAAACTTAGAGAAGATGGTAATATGTAGATTAATGGGGTGGTTTGAATCAGAATTCCCATTGAAGCGATGGTTGCTCTTGGATTCAACAAGATTTCACATACTAAGATCATGATCTCGTACCACCACCATTCAAGGCAGATCGAAATACAGCTGGGAATGGCCAAATTCACGAGAGTTTTCCATGCTTTAAAGCACTCTGTCAAAAATCCACCCCATGTCTGTTTATGGATGCCAGAGACGAGGACAAAGATTACTAAGGAGCCTACTAGGTTGAAGTTTGTGCATACCCCAGAGTGACCAACGCCTCCGATGCCTAAATTCAGGTGAAAGACAAAAAAATAATTTAAGGGTATGTGCACAAGAATGGATAGAATGGCGCAAAACGTTAGAGGCAAAGTTATTGATTGGGTTCTTAGGTAGATTCTTAATGGATGCAAAAGTGATTGAGCTAAGAGGCCAGGGAGAGAGTAGGATAGATATGCATGTGCTTCGGTTGCTATATCAACATCTTGGCCACAAAACAATAAGATTCTCTTCATATTAAGCTAGAGAAGAGAAATAGGAAGCGAAGAAAAGATGAGCATAAGCATTGCCCTCTGCAAAGTCAGGCCAAGAAGAGTGAGTTTCTTGGCATCGTAAGCTTGACCACAAATGGGCTCCATTCCCATGGAAAGGCCAGAGAGAATAGAGTAGCCGGTTATGTTTGCAAAGCCCAGGGCGAGTGAGCCTCCAGCTAAAGCAAGCTCTCCAAGGTGGCTGAGAAAAAGCATGGAGATGAACGAGGGAGAGTATAGCATGAGGCCTATTAATATCATGGGCAAAGATAGTTTAGCTATTGAAATGGCTTCTTTGATGGCAAAAGACAGATGGGTTATGTTTTGCGACTTGGAGTGGTAATTTGGGTTTGGTGTTGAACTTTTGGGGATCAATGGGGTGTTGATGTTGGGCTCCTGCGTGTCTTTGATTGAGGGAAGGAAAGAGAAGCTTGAATCGTATTTGCAGGAAAGAGAGTTACTTTTCTGACACATTTTTTTTTTGTTTTCTTGTGTTTTTGGTTTTGTTAACACTTAAACAGTGAAGATTTCGTAATGGATAGAACATGATACAGGAGAAGAGAGAGTTTGGGGGTGGTTTGAAGAGATGGATGATGGTGGGGTTTTATAGAGGTTTTTAGGTGGAGACTCCCTTTGGTTTTTTATTCTTTTATTTGTATGAACTAAAATTTTGATTGTTGTGACTATGACATGATGTTTCCTTTAATAAATAAAATTGTTTTCATAAAGTAAGATAAGACCCTGACGTGATCTGATAGTAAGTATTTATGATATAATTTTTCATCTTTAAAATCTTTCAATGTTATTTAATATACCATTTTTCATACTGAGTATATGGAACTCACCCTTTTTATGCCCTCCCAGATGATGAAGATAGTGAGGAACCGACTGTTGACCTACCCCTTTAAGTCTAGAAGGATCCAATGGATTTACAACCTTTGAGTACATGACTTGTTCCACACTCTGATAGAAGTGACCCTTTTGTATTTTTAGTATCTTCATATTTTGTATTTTGCCACTTCTGGCCTCAGTATGTATATGTGTAATTGGAACTCATATTTTGGTAAGAGATTTGTAATAATTTGACTGCTGCATACAATTTTATCATGCACTCGTAATCTGTTTCTGTATCTAGTGCCCTTATGCCTTAATTAGCATTTGGGATGTCACAACCACTGTGGTGACACTATCGACAACTTACGACTTGTTCAACCACAATAGATTTGCAGCTTGCTATACCATAGTTGGTTTACAGCTCACCACACCATAGCTTATTTGCAGTTTACCACACCATTGCACGATTACGACCACGGGTGTACCAACCATCGCCTCGATAACGAGTGATGCAGACTTATCAAAATCACTTTTTAAAATGCATAAGCATAATAACACTTAAAACACAATAGCACTTTTACAAAACACTTGCATGTTATATATGAAAATACTGTAATACAATGAAAAATACTTGAAAACTACATAGGCCATTAATCACGATATCCACTTACCTTGGGTCCTATGTTAACCTTGATTTAAGTAGCGTCCCCCCTCACACAAGCTCTAATCACTCTACTTAATCCAGCAGAGTTTCCACTTATAAAACTTTTAAATTTTTCTATTGATATGGATAGAGGCTCCCTTATGAATACTTTAATTTCCTGTTTTAAAATGGGAAAAGTCTCCCCTTAGTTTATCTCAATTTTCTACCAAAATTTTGGTAGAGTCTCCAATTAGAATATTGATAATTTTTAGCTCAAAAATACTGTCTTCATATGGAAATTACATTTCTAAGAAAAAGAGGTTTAAACGGGCTTACCTTGTATCACTTGCAACCTTAACTCTGGTAGAGTTTTGGCTTAATTTTGAGCCTTTTTCTCCAAAAACTTAAGCATGGTTTTGGGATTTTTTGAGATATTTCTAACCTAAAAATATCCCTCACAATATTTAAAAGCTAACCTCAAAATTTTGAGAGAAACAGAATACAATTCATATCGCAAGCTTACCTTAAGCTTATGATTTCTCTTGTGTTGATTATGAGCTTTCTCCCTCATTTTATCTCTTTTATTTTGGTTTCTTCCTTCTTTCTTCTTCTTCTCACTTCTTCTCACTTCTTCTCACAATTTGGGCAAAGTTTCCTCAAGGAAAAACTCCCAAATTCCCTAACTTTTATGGGGTTTCTTCCATTCTCTCTCTTTTTTTCTCTTCTCTTTATCTCACTTTTTTCTCTCTCTAACCTTATTTCTCTCAACTCCAAAATGCTTTTTGCTACTTCCATACCCTTATTTATAGGGGAAGTATATCCATGTAAGCTGATAAGCATGGGAGAGCTAGCAAAACATGATTGGCCATTTAAACCTCCTTAAGCTTCATCCTTATATGCAATTTCCGTAGCCGTTAATTAATTCTAGAGTATTCTAATCTTATCCAAACTCCTCTCATGTTTTACCCACCTTCCAAGGGCTTTCATAAAAAATTTGGGCTTCATTTGATACATTTTGGGCCATCTTAGGCTAAACCCATAAGGCCCAAAACTACACTCCATGCACATGTCTTCACTTTAAAGAGCCATAACTCCCTCAATTCTTGTGCATTTTCGGTGCATTTTACCTTCAATTTTTCATCATGGAATTATCTACTTATTAACCAAATTTAAGCTCAAAACAACCACATTTGGCCCATATAAGATCCACCTAAGTCCCGAAAGGTCTAAATCGCACTCAAATTTAGGCCCATGCCCATACCCTTAATTTAAAACTCCATAACTTGTTCAATTCTTTCTCTTTTTGAGGAAAATTATACTTCACATGTTCCTCCAGTAGGTAGCTATCACATGGTTTTCGTTCGGGCTTTTTCCAAGTCCAATTAGCACACTTATGGCCTAATAAATCCTAAAAGGTCAAACCTTTCCTTCATGTGCATGTCTCTCAGTTTTGGCCTCATTTCTCCCAATTTATCTCTTATGGACATTTTCTTTTTTAACACACTTACTCTGTAATATCTTGGCTAGTCCTCAACCAAATTAGAGTCTCAAATTCCAACTATTTTAGTCTCGAGACCCAAATCAAGCTAAAAGGGTCAAAAAGAGCTCCTCAAGGAATTTTCTCTCACCTGAGAGATTTTCTCCCGATTCATCATCCAATAATTTTTTCACTTTTTCAAAGCTTTTTTATCACCTTTTATGAGGTCTTTATAGCCTCGAGAAGTGTTCTTGGGCCTAAAAACTCAACTTTTCCTTGTGAGGGAAAAACTATTCTCAAGGGATTTTGGTTATCTAAATCTCATCATTTTTGCTCGACTTGACTTAAAACTAAGTCTTTAACGTTATTACAGCTCTCTGCATACATATACATGCTTAAATAGCCATACAAAATATGAACAATTTGTCTAGAGAAAATATGGGTCATTACATCCTCCCCTCATAACAAGAAATTTAGTCCTCCAAATTCAAGTAGCAAGGGGTCACAATAAGCTTAAATCCTTGATCTTCTTCTCAATAGATTGCTAATCTCTATGGTCTCCCTCTTCTCAGTGCACTGGCTTGTTCAATGACAACTTATGGCATCATTTCTAAAAATGTATCTTAACTAGTCACTATCTATTTCTGACTTATAGGCTGTCGATGTTTTACCAAGGCTTAAAATGCTTGTCCCCAACTAGTTGTATAATGGATATCTCCACTATATGTAGCTTATGATGACTCTATTGCAATTCTCTATTCACCTCAAGAATAACAGTCATTCATCTCCTAGTAATAGAATTTTAACTTCTTATCTTAGAAATCCAATATCATACTTATATTCTCTAGTGGTTCATAAATGCTCCAAAGTTTATCAATTGTTTTCAAACTCCTGAAATAAGGTTACAATCATTGGGAAGTCACTTCTGAATCCCATTAAATTATTTCACCTTGCATAACTTCTCATAAGGGTCTATATTGTTATCCTTACACTTAGCAAGGTCTTGGGTGGTCTCTAAATAATACCTCGATAATTAATTGAGTGCTCATAAGGTGATCCTTTAAATAGTCAAGCATGGACTCCCCACAATGATTATGGATCTTAATTACTTCTATATGAGCTCAACATCATTTATATGTTATGTATTTTCCTAAGATATTGAGAACCCCAAATCAAGTGCATTTGATGACTCCCTAAAATTACTCACATAAAATGGTTTAGTATTCTCCTAAATCAAGACCTTTTCTCCTTCCTCCATGACTGGATATCCAAGTAACTTACTCTTTTTAGTTAAGTCATATGGATCATCAATTTATCAAGGCCTATTCTCTCCATCCAAGTTTGTTAAGTTTTCATTATGTCTCCTTAATTTTTTCTAGAACCATGTTCTCAGATTTATAGTTTTATAAGACTCACACATCCAAAGTGGATCATCACTTTTTTTACTTTCAAAAATAAAGGTGGATTTATTAGGAATTGGTCTTCACTTGGTATCACAGTATACTATTAACATCAAGTTTATCTAGTATGGGTGACTCCCAAAATCTCAATCATTGATCGGGTTCTTCTAAGGTCTTTATCTATGGAATTCATTCTTATAGCTAATTATTAGGATCCTTCAATAATGGTGTCCTTTTGACCGGATATTAATTCCATTTAGGTTAGGATTTCTTTTTTTTTTTTAATTAGGAATTTGTTATTTAGGAATTACCATAGCTTGACTAAATCTTACCCCTATATATATGGGTGTTCGGATTATTCATGGTAGAAAAATTTTTTTAAAAAAATTATCTTTGATTTAAGTGAGCTTTATCTTTCTTAATCATGTGCCAAGGTGTTTTAACCTGTTTTATTAAGCTTTCAACTTAATAAACAGAATTGATTTCTTCCTATTCAAAACTCTTAGAAAGTTTTGTCAATTGCATTTGGGTTTCTATTCTAAGTTCAATTGAAAAGTGTTTCAAGGGTGTCTTGACAAACCCTTTTGATTACTTGAGTTCAGCAGGAGTTGGTAGTACCTTGGTGACCAAAAAATTGAGGAAAAGATCCTTGGTTTCCGTGTCAGTGTGTTAGAGGATTGATTGCATGTGATGTGAATTTGGTTTGATATGTATTATTTTAGCATGGAAATGATTATTGGTATAGGAATGAATAGAAACTAGTACAAAATTGATAATTTGGGAACTCTATTGTATTGGTAATATTATTGAAAAGGTTTTCAAAACAATTGTATTGTATGCACTATAAATGTTTTTTTTTTACTGTATGCATTAAATAGGACTTTCAAACGTTAATTGTGATGCGCTAGTACTGCTCTTCTTACTGAATCAACTTAAACTCACCCCAATCCATACTTTCTTTCAGGTTAGGGAACCTCAATAAGGTCAGCAGCTAGATGAGGTGCGAGGAGAGTTCCTTAGCTTTGGGATAGAATTAAGATGGTAGATATTAATGTAAGTTTTTTTAAAAAAAAA